TTAACGTGTCCCGAGTAGAGTTCATGATTTTCACCCTAACTCTGTTCCTCCTCTGGGCAACCCTGTCTTGGTATACAGCCTTGGTCTCCAACCAGGCGCCCACACCAGGAGCCTAGGCGTTGTCCTTCACACCTCCTTCACCTTCACCCCCTCGTCCAACCCATCACCAGGTCCTGTGAATTCTTCCAGCAAAATATAGTGACAATCCATTCACTTCTCTCTGCATAGCCATGCGCCGAGCCCCCACCACCCGCCCCCACCTGCAGGGCACAAACCTCTTGGTGGCTTTGCCTCTCTCACTTGTGCCCTCTGCTGAGTCTCCGTTACTCACACAGCAAGTGCATGCTGGGTAGGAAAATGTCAGCATAACTAACAATCCGGCCAGTTAGTAAATGATCACTGCCCTGAGCCACTCTCCACCTCAGGGCTCCACCCCCATCCCAGCCACCAACCTCCTTCCATGGCCAAGCAAGGGACCTCAGTGACCTTGCTGCGATTGGAGGCTATGTGCTCAAATACTTAAAAAGTTCACACGGTATTAGGATGACATAAGACTTTAGGTAACTTCTCTAGTGAGATTCAAGGGAAAATCCAGAAACTTCTGTGCCTCTACCCTCCAACAGCCAGAATTATATATTGACAATATGTACGTAGCCCTATCTTGGAGGGGAGAGGTGGTAGTGATGGGAGGGGAGGGGAGAGGAACTTTTGGGGTGCTAGTGACTTTCTACTCTAGATCTGGGTGGTGATTACACCAAGGCATTCACTTTATGAAAATTCATTGGTCTGAGCACTTACAACTGTATACTTTTCTACTGGTCTGTTCAATTTCAATAGAGTTCACTTAAAAAATAGCACCCAGAATTTCCCTGTGGTTGCTGCTCAAGAGGGGAGCAGTCTCTTGATCTTACTGTTTCTCTTGTTCACATTCTCTCCAGAAGGTTCCTGCACCGTCACGGGCTCCCGTGCCATCACTGAGGAGCTTTGTCTGTCTTCCCACCCCATGGGTCACCACCAGGGGTGCTGAGCTGATGATCAGTGAATGATGGGGTGGAACACAGGCCTCTTGTCTCTTACGTTTGCCCTTCAGCCTCCACAAGATCAACAACTTCAGGCTCTTCAAACAATGGGGAATATCTTTCCCAGGGGCTAGGAGAGTTTCTGGAGTTACTGACAGCCAGGCCAAAGATTTAAGTTCAGGCCCTTCTGCACTGCCCCTTGAACCTCACCGGGAGAGTTACCTAAAGATTCAGGCCATTAAAATAAAACCATGAAAAGATTCTTGATCTCACAGCTAGTAAGTGGAAATTCACATTCAAGTCCCAGGGAGTCACCATTTCATACCCATTAGCTTGGTAAAAATTCCGAAGTCTGATAATACTAAGTGTAGGCAAGGATGCGGTGAGTTCAAACGTTTACAAGCGGGAGTATAAATTGGAGAGCACTCTCAAGAGAAGTTTGGCAATACCCAAAAGAGCCAAAGATGCCCCTGCCTCCCTGACCCAGGCATCTCCACTTGTAGGTCTATACCACAGGGGAGCATGGGAGCCTCATCACTAGGAGAATCTTCTTTTTTTTTTTTTAACGTTTATTTTATTTTTGAGAGACAGAGAGAGCACCAGCAGAGGAGGGGCCGACACACACACACACACACACACACACACACACACACACAGAATCCGAAGCAGGCTCCAGGCTCTGAGCTGCCAGCACAGAGCCCAACGTGGGGCTCGAACTCGTGACCCGTGAGATCCTGACCTGAGCCGAAGTCACATGCTTAACCAACTGAGCCACTCAGGTGCCCCTGTTGTCCCATTTCTTAGAAGTAAAAATCTGAGGTAAATATGGTGTATTGGTAACTTTGATAAAGCCAGATAGCAAAAGGGGTTTTATGGTCTATCCTTGTCTGGATGTTTGATGTTTTCCAATAAAATCAAGTAATGGAAAGTTACTTAGACCTCTCCAGGGACGGAGGGCGGGGGGGGAGGGCATGAAGGATTCGTCCCTCTCCAAATGCCTCACCTGACCCAGGTTTGGTCTTTGCTCCCCAGGACCTCCCCCTCTTCTTCAAGGAGCTTAGTTGGAAAACTCTAAAGCACAAAGTGGAAATTTCCACACGTCTCCCAGGCTGAGCCTGTCAGTGGAGTCCTTTCCTCAGCCCCACATCCCACCCTGAGCCCTTTGGCGCCCCCCAGTGCAAGCAGCCGCGGTGTTTGGGAGCCAGACTGGCTGGGTCTGAATGTGGGCTCCCCCAGCTACGTGTCTGCGGGGCCTGGGACAAGTCACTCCAGGTCTCTGTGTCATAGGATGGAGGGAGACAGCTGGAGAGGGTTCCCTTTCTGCACCAAGGGTTTCGGGGAAACACGGGTAAGCTGGCCACCTGAGCTCTCTGCCGAGTTCTCCAGAATGGTCACGAACCCCGGGCACCTCCAGGCTTGCCCCTGGAAGGTGTTACGGCCACATGGCCTCGTGGCCTGAAGACACCACACGGGTCCCTTCCATCCTGTCTGCTTTCTCTGCCCCTAAGTACTTTCACGTGCGTGGCCTTCTGCGACGCTTGTAGGACTTGCTGAGATGGGAACGGGGTCATTGCAGATGCGATGGTTCAGATGGGTGGGCCCTTATCCAATACAGCCTGTGTCCTTATAAAAAGGGGAGATGGGGAGACAGGTGCACAGGGAGAGAACACCATGTGACGGTGACGTCAGCTATCAGAGCGATGTGATTACGAGCCAAGGAAGGCCAAGGAAGCTACAGCAGCGTCGTGGAACAGACTCCCTCACAGCCCTCAGAAAGAGCCCACCTTGGTAACACCTTGATCTTGAACTTCCAGCACCCAGAACTGAGAGACCGTGCATTTCTGTCGCTTCCCCACCCCATCTGTGGTGCTTTTTATGGCAGCCCTCGCAAACGAATCCAGGGACTGATGTTAACCACTTTACGACGACGACGGAGGAACTGAGGACCCCCCCCCCCGAGAGCCGTCAAGGTCACGCAGGTACTGAGAAAACTGAGCTAGCACTTGATTCCTCTGACACTGTCACAGGGCGTTTGACAGTTTATACGAGGCAATCAGTGATTTCATCAGGGGCTGGGAATAAAAACAGGTTGCGATTTAGTCTTCCACTAAGCGTGACCAGTTACAACTGCTTTCTGGGTGGTCTGTTCTGAGCTTGATCTAGATGGTATTTGGGGAAAACAATACTTTCACTTATCACCTGCGTAAGATCACATAACAAGCCAAATGAATGTCATGGGACCCATCGTAAAGACTGCAGCCTTCAGACACGCTATCAGCATGCTGGGTAATTAGAACGAGACTGGCATGTTAGGCAGCTTAATTTACGGTCCCTTTGGCATCTTGGCACAGCCTTGGCCTTCTGATCCAGGCGTCCTTCTCTGCTTTATATCCTTGGGTGTGGATGATTCTCAACTTCTTTCCTTGGGAGCAGCCCCCCCCCCCCCCTTCTCCCTGCGACTCCGCTGAGCCGGTTCCCACACCGTGCTGTCAGCCTGCCAGGGGAGTTTTGGAGTGCGTGGAGGTGGGAAGGGCGGTGGCCATCGGTGTGGAGGTCTGCAACACATATTTCCATCGATCGTTGCATGGCCTTGGCCAAGCCAGCTCCCCTTCTGGGCTCTGGTTTTCCCACCAGTCAACTGAGGGGCTTGGACAGGAAGGTTTGCTCTTGCCAAACTGGGAGGAGCTTGGAGATCTGCAAAGAAGATAGAGGAGGCCAAGAGCGGGGCTGGCTCACCAGCTATTTTTGGTGTTCAAAACTCCCGTAAAAGTGGTGGGTTTTTCTCCATCATGAGCCTGAGCAGGACATCCGGAGGTTGGGCATCCGTCAGCTCAGCTGGGTCCTCTCATTTTGCCCATGCTCACCGGACCCTCTTGGGTGAAAAAGGCAGGAAACATGAATTAATTCTAATTTGTACAATGTAATTGGTAAGCAACTCTTCCAATAGACGTCTTTTATTAAAAGACATCTTTGATTCTGAAAACATGGAGAACAAGGGAGCTGGCGGACCCCAGACGGCTGTCCGCTCTAAATGCCTGTGATCCCAGTCCTACACCGGACTGGTGCCCTCAGGCTCAGCGGTCCAGGTGGTGGGAGCCCAGCATCTGTGACCCGTCTCTGATGTTCTCAACAGCTGTGTCCCGTAACTTCCCTCCCTCCCCTGGTCATGCCACATCCTCTCTCTTCAGGTTGTAATTGAGGGTCGTATGCTCTGGAAGGGTTTCCAGCCCCAGCTGGTTGCCAGTTGCTGAGATCATCCTTGGCCGTGTTTGTGTACCTCTCCACGTTGAGAATGACTCTCGAATATGTCTTCGTGTTGCATGTGGCACCCCTTCGCTGCAAGTCGTGCAACTCCTTGAGTATCGGGACGGGGCTGTTGACAGCCCGTAACTGGATCTGGGCCATGGATTCTTCCAGCCTCTGGCCAAGACCTCTGCCTCTGGCACTGTGGCGTCAGCTTCCGTGAGGAAGGGTCTCGGGGGAGTGAATCGGTGATGGCCAGCGCAGCTAGTGAGGGGCCGAGTCGGAAAACAAACCCAGGCCTGGCTGATTTGGTAAGCAGTGTTCCCTTCTCTGTAATGATGTCATATGCCACACAGCAGCCCATCTAGCTCAGGGGGGCGGGGGGTGATGGACTCAGGGGGCAGGACCGGCTTTAGTGGGGTTTAATAACAACATATAACCTTCGTGGGGCAAGAGAAGTGCTTTCCTGAGCTCCTAAGGCATCCAGAGGAACAGCAGGGTCAAGGCCAGCTTTAGAGGCCGGTGGGGAGGTCTGCTTAAGGTCTGGGCATGGCTGATGCGGGCGGTCCACCTGAGGTGAGTCCCAGAGGCTCACTGGTGCAGCGTGGAGAATCAAGATCACAGGGAGTGCTGTTGTCTATCCATTTCCTTCTTTTCCTCTAACGATAGAATTCCCTCCCTTTTTTTGAAGTTGGGCACGTCGCTGCCCCACCTGAGGGCTACTTTCCCCCGACTCTCTGGTGATGTGACTAAGTTCTAGCCAGTGGTTTGCAAGCAGTTGTGAGGAAGTTTCCTTGAAGAGAAGGAATGTTCCTTTACCTTCCCCTTCCCTTCTCGCTGCAATCTGGAAAGCAGACGTGATGGCTGGTGTTGGAGCAGCAAACTTGGCCTTGAAGTGACCTCGTAAACCTGAGGGGACCACAGCATGGAAGGTGCCGCTTCACGACACTGTGGAGTGTTATACTAACTAGAGGACTCTATCTCTGGATATCCTATCTCTGGATTTGTGGGTGAGACACGTAAGTTTCTTTTCCTTTTTTTAATGTTTAAGTTTATTTATTTATTTTGAGAGACAGAGAGAGATCGGGGGAGGTGCAGAGAGAGAGGGAGAGAGAGAGAATCCCAAGCAGGCTCTACAGAGTACAGAGTCTGTTATGGGGCTTGAACCCGCGAACCGTGAGATCATGACCTGAGCCGAAACCGAGTCAGGCACTTAGCCCACTGAGCCACCCAGGCGCCCCAGAAATAAGTTTCCATTTTGCTGAAGCCGTGGTTCCTGTGGGGTTTCTGTCTCCTTATCCCAAATTCCAGAGAAAACTTAATTCTTTTGTTTTTTCTTTTTTTTTCCAGTTTTTTTTTTTTTTTTTTGGTAATTCTTCTGATTGCCTTTTGGTGCTGGTCTGTCCTGAGCGCCTCTCTCACACTTGCTAAATCTCCCCTGTTTCAGCGAAGAGAACAGAGCTCGCTGAGGCCCAGAGCCTTTGGCAGGAACTAGCATCTAACTCTAATTTACTGACATTGTTTTGTTTCTATGGTATTTATTTTTAGGTTACCATCTACTTGAGGTAGGTGATACCCTTTTCCATTTACAATAGTGACGTGAGGTCACTTTCCTTTTAAAATAATTTGCTTAAGCAAAAACAATTGAATTGATTTAACAGACATTAAGTGACTAAGAGTACAGTTTATGGCTATGATGGCAGAATCGAGGAGGTTATGACGATGGCAGAATCGAGGAGGTT